GATTGGCACAGGACAGAGCGGAGTTTAGGGCTGTTGTGCATAGGGTCACTACGAGTCGCAGGCAACTCGAGGGCACATAACAACAACAACAACAACATCTTGAAGGAAGTGCAACCAGAGTTGCCCCTTAGAGGTGAGGGTGGTGAAACTTTGTCTTCCTTACTTTAAGGCGTGTTGTCTGGAGTTTCCAGTCCTTAGAGAGAGATACTATGCTTGGAAAGGAAAAAGATGAGAGAAAGAGGAAGTGCATCAGTGAGAGACAGATTAACACAGTGATTACCACAATGGGCTTGAGCAGGACACAGAAGATGAAGACTGAAGACGGGCAAGGGTCAGATCTGTTGTTGATAGGGTCACTGTGAGTCAGAGCGACTTTATGCACCTAAGGACAACATCACACACTGCCCCCCCTCCTCCATTGATTCAATCTTTCCAGAGAACCCTGGCTGCGGTGGATAGGGACAGCTCCCGACAGGTGGCTGAGGTGCCAGCTGCCACATGATTGGGGATCACTCAGGAGTGAGAATCAGGTACCCACCCCCAGCACCCTCCAGACACCCTTTATCATTCTTCCCTTGCCCAGGTGGCAGTTTTGAAGCCATTTTCAGTTCTCTGTGGGCACACTCCCCCCTGAATGATGCCTGTGGGGGGTCAGGGTGCCCCAGGCTCACCTCTCGATGATGTAGCTGAAATTGTCCTGCAGGGCCACAGGGCTCTGAATGCCTTTGGAGCAGGAAGAGATGTCACTGTGGGTGAACAAGAGACTGTGAGAGGCGGGGAAGCCAGTTTGGGGCTGTCCTCGCTTGGTCCCCTGGCGGTGCTGTCCCACTAACACCACAAGGGGGAGCTGCCCACGAGCAGTCGCCTGGATGGAGCGTCTGCATCTGGATGCTGGTTCCTTGAAGATGTAAATCTCCCCGCCAACTCTGCCTCCCTAACTTGCTTGCTTTTATTCCTACTCTACGTATCTCTGTTTTATTGACTATGCAAAGGCGTTTGTGTGGATCATAACAAAGTGTGGCTGACTCTGAGAAGAATGGGAATCCCAGAACTCTTGATCGTGCTAATGAGAAACCTATACTTGGTCCAAGAGGCAGTTGTCAGAACAGAGCAAGGAAACACTGCATGGTTCAAAATTGGGAAGGGCGTACGCCAGGGATGTGTCCTGTCTCCATACCTTTTTAATCTGTATGCAGAACAGATTATCCAGAAGGCTGGACTCTATGAGGAGAAATGTGGGGTCAAGATTGGTGGAAGATCTATCAACAATCTGCAATATGCAGATGATACAACCCTGTTTGCTGAAACTGAGGAGGACCTGAAGCACCTGCTGCAGAGGGTCAAGGACTGCAGCCTCCAATATGGATTGAGGCTCAATGTCAAGAAGACAAAGATTCTCACCACTGGACCAATTGGCAGCATCAGGATGGATGGTGAAGAGATTGAGATTGTTCACAGCTTCAGTTTGCTCGGCTCCACAGTCAACTCTCTCGGCACAGCAGCCAGGAAATGAGAAGACGTATTGCGATGGGAAAGTCTGCTGTTAGGGACCTCTCCAGGGTACTGAAGAGCAATGGTGTCTCTTTGGAGACTAAGGTGCATCTGATACAGGCCATGGTCTTTGCTATCACTTGTTATGCATCAGAGAGTTGGACAATGACTAAGGAGGATAGAAGAATCGATGCCTTTGAGATTTGGTGCTGGAGAAGAGTATTGAGGGTACCATGGACTGCCAAGAAACAAACAGATTCATCCTGGAAAGGGTCAAACCGGGCTGTTCCTTGGAGGCAAAGATTCTAAGGCTCCATCTAACATACTTTGGACATGTTGCAAGGAGGGACAGGTCCTTGGAGAATCATGCTTGGTAGGGTGGAGGGACAGCGTAGAAGGGGAAGGCCCCCTATGAGGTGGATTGATTCGGTGATTGGGGTAATCGGGATGGGAGTGTCAGAGACAGGACAGAGCAGAGTTTAGGGATGTTGTACATAGGGTCGCTATGAGTTGCACATAACAACAACAACAACAACTACTTTTACATCTCAAAGGTGATTGGTTTATGACACAATCTACTCTGACACGGCCTCAATAACATAATAAAGAAAACTGTCAGGCCAGAACCAAGGTCAAAGGAAGAACAAAGGATTCAAGGAATATCAACATGTCAACAAAGGGCGTGAACATCCTCAACTAGTATGGTGTGCCCCTCCCTTCCCTCCCTAAAGACCCCCACTATAAAATCTGCCCTAATCCACCTTGTTGTTGTTATGTAGCATGGTCTCTGACACACCCATCCCGATTACCCCAGTCACTGAATCAATCCACCTCATAGAGGGCCTTCTCCTGTGCCGTCCCTCCACCCTCCCAAGCATGATGTCCTTCTCCAAAGTATGTTAGACAGAGCCTCAGAATCCTTGCCAATCCACCTTAGGGCAGGGTATTTCCCTGGTCTGTCCCTCTGCCTGTTTCTCTCTCTGCAGACCAAGGAATCCCATCAGGGAGACCCCTTAGTAAAGCTTCTTTAGCTTCCTTTCTCTAGTCCCTTCTTTGAGTCCTTGACCTTATGTTCAGTGCGAAGACCTAACAAAAACTCTCTTCTCAGGTTAGGTTACCGTGAGGGGTAGAGAATCCTCTAGCTTCCAAGTCAATCCAGGGCACCGACCCACAGGCTTTCCCAGACTCTCACCTTTTCAGGAGCAGACTGGTACACCTGAGGCTCTCAGAGTGGCTGGTAGCAGCCCAACGCTCAGCCACGGTGCCACCAGGGGCTCCTTCCCATAGGTGCAGGGATAAAGGATTTACAGCATGTATTTTTGCAGGGATACAATTCAATCCACTACACAAAAACTGGAAAGTGAGCCCCTTGCTAGTCAGAGCGGCAAGGACAGGGAAGCCCAGCAGACCCTCCGCTGGCCCAGCACTATGGACAGCAAAGCTAGCCAGGCCTTTTGGGAGGGGCTTTGAGTGGCAGCCTAATAGTAGACCCCCAAAGTGAATCTCCCACATACTCTGACACGGGTAGGGGCAGGCCTTGTCGCTCATTGCCTGCCACAAATGTCTCTCAGCCCAAGTCAACCCTAGTGTCAGCTGTAACTGTACCCAAGTCAACACAAGTCAGTGTAACCCAAGTCAAGTCAACTCAACCCAAGACAGTACAACTTAACTCAGTCTAAGACAACACAACCCAATTCACAAAATCTGAACCAACGAGGGCTTTCTCCTCCCCAGGCTCATCAACCTCCAACCCTCGTCCACACCTGCCCCTTCCCTCCCCCCTAAGTGTTTTCTGAGATGTAACTTGTCACAGCTCTTTGGTGTTAGGGTACCTTCTGCTTCGTGGCTGCCCACAGAGATTGCTGACGTAAGGTATGTCTGTCCCAAGCCCACCTGATGGCCCACCTGACTATCTGACCAGGGAGGGAGAGGGATGTGATCAGCGGTTACACATCTCCCAGCACGCTGCCTGAAGGAAAAGTGTGGTAACTGGGTGAGTCTTACAATGTCTCTATTCTCAGATTCTTATCTTTCTCTGGTGTAGCTATGGAAGCAGGAGGCCATTTTCTCAATTTTAAGGCAAGAGTTTGAAAATGAAACAAAACTTGAGCGATTTTAATCAAAATAAAGAACAGATCTAAAAGAAAGAAATAGAATGAATGCACTATTGGGGAATAGGCCAATAAATGTGACTCTAACCAGAATAAGTGAAGGAGAGGCAATCAACACGCCACACACTCCACCTCAAATTACTAATTACTTAACCTTTAATTATGGAACTACTGAGCATATGCAATGTAAGCAGACCAATCACAGACACCCATCTATATATACTTCATCCAATCCCACCACACCTACACACCCCATACTCCCTCCTCCAACACTGACACACCATCACCCAATCCCATCCCACCCACATATCCCACACTTCCCCCCAGTACCAGTTTACTTACTTGTGAACTACAATCTTCTTATCCAGGTCACATCCAATTGAAATGATTGCCGTCTACAGTGATGAGAGAGAGAGAGAGACATCCATCCAGAGAGGGTCACTGGGAACCCAGCCACAGAGAAGACTCAGGTGGGACACAGTCACATCAGGAATGTTTGCCTTCCCTGGACCCCAATGTGGTGACCTGAACACCCTTCTATTATAGTTGGGTCCTGCACAGCAGTCAAGCAAGGGAAGTTTCTGGGGTTTTTTTGGTTGTGTGTTACTGTCCTTTTGTTTGCTCTCTCTGAGGACACACCCTCTCCTCCAGAGAAAGGAGCTCTGGCATTAAATACAATTAAGTACTGCTTGGGCTCTGAGGGCATAGTGGTCCTTGGATGTTGTGTTGTTCATTGAGGAAGTGTGTGCCCACTCTCATCCGCCGCTCTGTGGTCTGAGGGTAGACAACTTTGAGTGTTTGACTCTGTGCACACCTCTGGTTTTACATCTGCCCTTACACTTCTGCAGGCCCTGGCCCACCCCTGAAGTTGAATGCTCCTTAATCCTCATGTTAACACTTTTTCAGGGGTAAGTAATTTCTTTTTAAAAAAAATTAATTTTAATGAAAGTTTACAGAGACTTTGGATTTCCATTCGTTCATTGTTGCACTTTTATCCCCACCCACCCCTCCTCCCCCAATTCGCTCTTTTCTTTGAAAAATAAAAGCAAAATTCTTGCATTGTTATACAATCCCTCTCCCCAAGTCCACTCCATTATGCTGCCTTCATTCTGGACCCCTGTCATGACAATAATACCTAATCATATATCCCTTTCAAACAGTTCTCTCCCTCATCTGTTTCAATGCAGTATACATAATTTATCTCTCAGTCTCCCCTCAACCCTTATGCCAGTCCTCTTTTATAACAGTGGCATTATGCAGTATTTGCCTTTTTGTGACTGAGATATTTCACTGAGCATGATATCCTCATTACCCATTTTGTATAATATTTCATGAGTTTCTTGTTTTTCAATGCAGCATAGTATTCCATTGTGTAAATATACCAGAGCTTCTCTATCCATTCATTTGTTGATGAGCACTTGGGTTGTTTCCAACTCTTTGCTATTGTGAACAAAGCCGCAATAAACATGGGTGTGCATATATCTGGCTGGGTGGCAGTTATGGATTCTTTAAAGGGTAAGTAATTTCTAAGACAACTGTGGCTACAGGCCAAATAGCCATTCCAGGAATAGTGCCTACTCTTGGACTTTTCTAGTGATAAATCAGCTGGGAATAAGTATCAGAAAGAAAGATAAATCAAACCAAATCCAATCCAATTCAAATCAACTCAACTGAATACAATACAAACCATCCAGTCAGACAAAACCATCAACTCAAAACAACCCAACCGAACCTAACTCAACCCAGCCCACATCAACTCAACTCAACCTAACTCAAGTCAACCCAAGCCAATTCAACCTAACACAATCTAACCCAATCCAGTTATACCAACTCAAGACAATACAACTCAAAATAACCCAACCAAACCTAATCCAACCCAATCCACATCAACTCAACCCAACCCAACTCAAGTCAACCCAAACCAACTCAACCTAACACAATCCAAGCCAGTCCAGTTATACTAACTCAAGACAATACAATTCAAAACCTAATCCAACCCAACCCACATCAACTCAACCCAACCCAACCCAAGTCAATCCAACCCAACCCAAGTCAACACAAACCAACTCAACCTAACACAATCCAAGTCAGTCCAGAGTAGTCCGACTCAAGACAATCCAACTCAAAATAACACAACCTAACCTAATCGAACCCAATCCTAATCAACTCAACCCAACCCATGTCAAGTCAACCCTGTCAAATTCAAACCAACTCAGTCTAATGGAACTTAACTCAGTCTAGTCCAGTCCCACCCAAGACAACTCAATCTAATTCAACTTGAAACAACCCAACTTAACCTAACCCAACCCAATCCAAGTCAACTCAACTCAACCCAATCCAATTCAAATCAACTCAACCTATCACAATTCAAGTCAGTTCATCCCAATCCAACTCAAAACTATGCAACCCAACCTTAAATAACCCAACCTAAGTCTGTCCTAGAGAGAGTGAAACCAAGTTGCTTCTTGGAGGCAAAGATGTTAAAGCTTTGTCTCACATACTTTGGGGCATGTTTCCAGGAGGGACCAGTCCTTGGAGAAGGACAGCATGCTTGGAAGGGTGGAGGTACAGTGCAGAAGAGGAAAAATCTGGATGAGATGTATTGACACAGTAACTGGGAGAAGGTGTGCTGGAGACAGTGAGACTGGATCAGGATATGGCAGGGTTCAGAGATACTATGCCTAGGATCACTGTGAATCACAGGTGACTTGATGGCACATAACAACCCAACTAAGGTGTGCTTGATTCAGATCTTTTCAACCACTTGTTATGCATCTGAGAGTGACAGAAGAAATGATGCCGTTGAGATGTGGTGTTGTAGAAGAGCACTGAATGTATGGCAAAACATAAGCCTTAGAAAAATGTAGCCTGAGTGCTCCTTAGAGGCAAGAGTAGTGAAAATACATCTCACGTATTTTGGGCATGTTGCTATGAGAGGCTATTCCTTGGAAAAGGATCACATGCTTGGAAAGATGGAGGGTTAGCGAAAGAGAGGAAGACCCTTAACAAGATGGATCACAACAGTAACTGCAGCAATGAGCTCAAATATATCAGAGATGATGAGGATGGGACAGGACAGGGTTCATGCCTGTTGTTCACAGTGTCACTGTGAGTCATGCTGGGCTCCACAACACCAACAACAACAATCTTCAGAGATGATTATCACTGTCTAGTTTCGGAACATGCCATCACTATAAAGGAATCCTATACCCACAAAAAGTCACTACTCCCCATTTCCCCTCTTCCCCGGCCTTGAGGAACCACTAATCCACTTTCTGTCTCCATTGATTTGTCTTTTTGTGTCTTGCTTCTTTCACAGAATGTAGTGTTTTCAAGGTTCATCCAGAATGGAACATGACTCAGAACTTCAATCTGTTTTTGTTTGTTTGTTTTGCTTTGCTTTTTTAGAATAAACACCTTTAATACCTGTGCTAAAAGGGGAGGGAGGAGATTTCTTTGCCTTTCGAGTGCCTTGATTTTCCTCAGATAGAATCCCAGCCCCTCTCCCTCTAGCACATAGCCCTCTGCGTGGCCACACTGGCCAGGCCTGGAAGTGATACATGCAAAAATCTTGCCCTGTTGGAACTGCTCCTCTAGAAGACTGCTAATTTTTGCTTACTTTTTCCTTTCATCGTATTTTTCTGGAATTTTCTTTGATCGCTTTTTGTTTAAAATCTCTTCCTCCTCAGGAGTCAGCTTAGCCCCCTTCTTGCAACCCAGGGGTAGCGCATAGTGGGACTCGTACCACTGGCGGTACAGTGTGCTGTCAATAAACACAGTGCAGTTCTTCACTAGGGTCTTGGTTTGGACCAGCTCATTGTTGGAGGCGTTGTAGACAACATCAATTATCCTTGTTTTGCGAGGACAACATTCAGAGCCCCAGGAGAAGTTCCTCACACCCAGTCTTAGGGCACGGTACTTCTTGTTGCCTCCTCTCACATGAACTGTGTATATACGGCGGGGCCCAATCTTAGTGTTGGCAGCCGGGTGTCCCAGTTCATACTTCCGCTTCTTGTGGTAGGGCTTTCTCTTGCCCCCAGTCTTGTGGCGCTTGTGCCAGTTGTCCTGGGAGATGCCCATCGCACCGCGTTGCCTGCAAAGAACTTCAATCTCTTTTTATGGCTGCAAAACTTATGCTGTTGAATTGTGATGTTGGTGGAGTGTATGGCCCATTGCACAAACTGCCAACACAAGTCTGTGCCAGGAGAAATGCAGCTGGAATACATCTTGCAGGTGAAGGTGGGGAGACTTGGTCTCACGTGCTTGGGGCGTGTTATCAGGAGGGGATCAGTCTGTGGAAAAGAACCACGAGTTTACAGAGTCGGTGAAAAAAAGGAAGACTCTCAATGAATAGATGGACACAGTGGCCGCAGTGTGCACTCAAACACCATGATGATGGGGCATATGGCACAGGACTGGACAGTGTTGCATTCTGATGTACGTGGGTCACTGTGAGCAGGCACCTAACAAGAGCATAATGTCCACGATGTGGACACACCACATTTCGTTATCCATCTGTCCACCCATTGGCAGGCACCTGGATTGTTTCCACTGCTGGCTATTGTGAATCATGCTGCTGTGGACCCTTGTGTTCAAGTTTTGTGTAGATGATGTTTGCATTTATCCTGCAGAGATACCAAGGACTTCACCAGGCGAAATTCTGCAGATGTCCAACAAGGAACATAAACTCACACACCCAGTCTAGTGGCAAAGGGTCATCTCCAGCTCCAGCTCCAACTCCTCAAGGAAAAGTCAACCAAGGCTTGAATAAAGGCATAGGTTTACATAGACTAAGAAGAAGTTGTTGAACAGAATAAGGGACATTGTTTTGTTTGCTGCCATCAAGTTGAGTATGACTCATAGAGACCCTATGAACAAAAGATCTGAATCCTGTTGTATCCAGTACTATTCTCACACTTCCTGACACACAAGAGCTCATGCAGCCATCATTCTGTCAATCCACCTGGTTAAGGGTCTTCCTCTCTTTCACCAACCCTCCATTTTCCCCAGTATCACGTCCCTCTCCAAGGAATAGCCCCACCTCCTAGCAAGATGCCCAAAGTATGTGAGGCAAAGCCTCACCATTCCTTCCTCCAAAGAGCACTCCAGCTGCGCCCTCCCAAAGACATTATCTGTTTGTTCTCTTGGTCATCCATGATTTAAAAATCGGTTGGGTCTTGCTTGAGTCTAGAGGGTAAGTGTTTAGATTTACTTGAAAGCTGGGTGTAAACTGTTCGGGCATTTTAAATTTTGTTAACCATCAAGTGTAAGCTGATTGGCTGTTTCTGATTTCATTAGCAATCAGCTGTGAGCCTCTTGTTTAAGCAGTCGGAACCTGGTGGGCAGACCTTTGCATTTAAAACTCTGTTTGGTCCTGCCTGAAGGTGAGTCTCCA